GCTTGCTAATTTTTAGGAGTTTACTAAATAAAATGTATCAATCTTCCATTCTGTTACTAAGCTGAACTATTTTATGATATGCATTATTAAATAGTTAAAAGTAAAAGGCATCTCTTAAAAGGAAAGATTCTGCAGAATACATTTGAGAATGCTCATAAAGGTAATGTAGAATAATTGCCATGCTCTTTTTATGATGAAATGTAGCTCTTTAGTAATAAAAATACATTGTTATTCAAACGTAGAGATAAGGATCATAAAGTTATCTTCAAAACTATGAGGATTTAGAGAGAGGCCTATCACTTTTAATGTTTTTGAAATATAGTGAATTTCTTCAGGCATCCCTACTGTTTTATTTTCTTATTTGTAACATAATGCATCCTTTGTAACAAGACAGAACACAAAGCTATTTTACTTTACAGACAAGAAGTGGATCAAGTGGTGGTGGCATCTCCGTAGATTATTAGTTTTTAATCCTTGTAAACATGATAAAATCATCTTTTTATCTTTTTCTTTGTTTTTAATTTTAGTGCTTATATTCTCTAACTCACATTAAGAAAGTGTTGTATTGCCATCAGCTGAAAAATAAGTTCTTAATGGGTGTTATTACATCCTTACAATGAAACTATTCTGACTCAGGTTCTTTAAAGATTGTTTTGTGGGTTGAAGCTCTGGTCCTGGATTACAAATGAGGAAATAGGGGTGGGTGGGCATTAAGATTAACTGCAGTAGTGGGGATTCTTTTCTCTGCCAAGGGTCATTTGGATATTTATAACATCATTTATGGGCCACACAATATTTATAACATCATTCATGGGCCACACAAAATTATCAACTTAAAAATTAACTGTTATGTTTGGTCAAACATTTAATTAACTTGCCCTTAATGCCTTGGCAGGGCCAGACAGAATGATTTCCTGGGCCTTGTACTGCCAGTGGGCTGGGCACTCCCCACCCCTGAATTATAATACATATAGCATTGATTTATTGTTTAGACTAAGAGTGCAAAATAATAAAAGAAATATAAAACAATTTTCCTGTTTGTAATATTTTTGATTTGTCGACTAATCACAAACATGTATTTGCTGAGTGTATGAAAGGGTTATTGATTTGATAAATAACATTTATTTATTGAGGTCTTTCAAGGTAACAGACCCTGTTGTAGGCATGAGAAATACAGCAGTTAACAAAACAAAGGTCCCTGTCCCCACAAACAAATGAATCTAGGTATTAGTGTTATCTGTGTCCCCACCTGTGGAAGTGGAGTTCCTGGGATGCTGCAAGGAAAGGAATTTCTTGAGACTTGCATGGAGGAGGAGTGAACTTTTTTCCTGTGGAACTAACCCCCTGGCTTTCCAATGTCCCATTTCTCTCTATCTGCCATAGAAAAAGTCCAGTCTTGTCTTCAGCAGGGCTAGGATTAAGGCCCAGAAACTCTGCTCCACATTAAAGTCCAGTTTTAGTCCGGCATCTGGCCAGTTTAGCTTGTGTCCCAGCTGCTATCCATTGTATGTGGGGTTCACATGGCCATGGGCTGTGCTGCTGCTTAAGAGCACACGGTGGGTGCAGGTCATGATGCAAGAGGGTGCAATAGGGAACAAGAAGCAAGAGATAGAGGGAAATCCTTTGTCTGGAGAGTATGACCAGGGCTTAACTGGTTAACCCTTCAAGATTTCACACCCTTGCAGTGTCTCTATCCCCCAGCCAAGTATCTTCTTCCCAGATTAGATGGACAGATTAAGAACCTTCCCTACTTCATCCCTGCTTCACTGCACATGCACCCATCTCCTGCTTTGTTGGACCCTTTCCCCGAGTGATCTGCAGAGAATGGACTGGTGGTTCTGTGGGGAGTGTGAAGTTGAAGCTTCCTGAGGAGGCTGTCCAGATGACCATGATTATCATGTCAGGCCTTTCCTTTGCTCTCTTTCTGTTATTAATATTATTAACTAGCCAATCACATTATCAATGATGTTAACATTAGTGGGGTCAAAGATGGTATAGGGAAAAGCACATTGTTTGACCCTTGCTGCTCCCTGCCTTTCATAAATGTAATACATTTAATATATGTAGAAGCAAGTTAAAAGAAAATGCAAGGGCTTCTTTGAAGGGAACAAGAAGCTACAAATGGTGGCATGTATTTGACTGCCGGGAGAGTAAGCAGGCCTACTGCCTTTGTCTCGGAGAGTGAGGAGAGTTTAGAGACTGTCTCCTTTAAGCCTCTCTTCAGCTCTTTTTGTCAAGGATGTCAGTTACTCAACAAGCACAGGGATGGTCCTCCATGGCAAATGCTTTGTGATGCGTTCCCTGTTGGGTATAAAACTCCCGATTTCATCCACTTAAATATCTGTGTCTTCACAAGGTCCAGAAGGAAGTGTCAATGTTACCCTAAGAGATGCAGTGAATAACTGTTTGGAATCCTACTCCTTAGATTTGTATCCTGGTCACTTACCAGTCGTATGAGCACAGGCAAACCACTCACACTTTCTGCACCTTAGTTTGCTCTTCTGTAACATGAGAATAATAGGACTTCTTGCACAGAAGAGTTACAACAGTTCGATAAGAAAATAAATGTGTAGACAATCTCTTTGTTATATGTAAAATTCTTATAACTATTTCTCAATTAGTCACAATTTCTCTTCTGCAGTCACAATATACATGATAAATTCAGTCTCCTTTAACAAACTCCATCTAATCCAATGTTTTTTTTAAGTTAATTTTGTTTTAAAAGCCTGATGATAGTAAATAGTTGATCCAAACTAAGTGTTATTGTTTTCAGTGAGGCTCCAGTTCAAATTCTGTAGCTTGGGTAGGACATTACATATAGCAAACAAAATAAAGAACCACCCAGTGAAATTTAAGTTTCAAGTAAATAATGAATAATTTTTAAAGTTCAAATATGTTCAAATAAATAATGTACACATTTTTCAGTGTAAGAATGTCCTAAATATTGCAAAAATATCCTGCATTTTATTTGGCATCCCGGTGTCAGGCACCAACCCTGCTCCACTGAGAGTTTGCAATAGATTCCTTTTCCTCAAATGGGAAGGCTATTGGCACTTCCCAAATGGGAAGACTAGTGCATCAAGGCTACATCTATCAGAGGCTAAGTAACAACCTTTAAAATAAATAAGCAAAAAAGGTAGGAATTGAGTATGAAGGAGGATGTGGCCAGTTATTTGTGTCAGTCTCCTCATGTCAGTTCATAGACCCAAAGTGAGTACATTTTCGGTGACAGGGGATGAACAGGAATAAAGTATCAATGTTTCCATGTATGGGTCTGTCTGGTCCCAATGAGTGTTAATATCTTAAAGTCTTAGAACAAGCTCTGTTTACTTAGGAAGTGTAAGAAACATGTCAGCCCTTTGAAAGACCTCTAAGCACACTGGTTGGTGCTTTGATATCAGACTTGGAGGTACCTATTGCATCTTTTTAAAAAAGTGCCTTTAGAATGGGGGGGGGGGAATGTTCTGGTCTTTGCAGACAGTTATTAAATTTAGAAAATATTTATTTTAACTTTCAAATTATTAGTACATGATAAGCTGCTTTTAGTGCCTCAATCTCAATTTTTAAGATGTTCTCTTAGAGAAGTGCTATCTCCCTGACTTTTTTCTGTTAACAGTGACCATCATTAGTTTTGGCTTCTGCTATAAAATCAATGATTATGTGTTACTCCTGGAAACTGCTGAATCTTCAAAAGGTGATTAAAATGGTTTCAAATACAAAGTGTTTTATGAGAGTTCAAGGGAGAGAAACAACATTTTTTTTTTAGTGTCTTTCATATGCCTGGGACTCTGTAATTCTCATATATTTCTAATCTAACCAACAACTTAATCAGAGGGGGTAGTGGAGTTAAGTTATTTTGCTATTATCATAAAATTGTATGATGATAAAAGCACTTCATCTCACTTCCTTTTGAATTTTCCTTACAGCCTTCTCCTGCAGTTATTTTGTTCTTCAGCAAAAAATTTCATACTATTAAATTCTCTTCTAACTCTGATAATGTAAGGGGTAATGTCCTATATATTTTGATATTTTTTTTATTTTTCTTGAAATTATACATTCCCAGTATTATTTTTAAAAATATGTGTGTGTGTGTTTTCCATGAAAGTTTGCTAATTTATTTATGGATACTCATCTAACATCACATATACTACATATTTAGTTTTATGTTTAAAATGTAAAAAAATATTGGAATTTGAATATTCCATCCTCCCACTCAGTGAAAGTCTCACCTGGACAAAGTCCTTACTTATGTTTGCATATTTTAGTCGTGTGAGGATCATGCGTTTTCAAATTATTCAATTAATAGATAGCAGCTTGAAATCAAGTGTATATATTCAGGTGATAGTTACCTTCCAGAAACTTTTTTTTTTTATAGATCCAAGTTCTGCCCTCTGGAGCTATATGAATACATTTATTCCTTCCTCATGCCCAACCCAGGTCCAGGTCCTTTGTTGATAACCTGTATAACTTCTCAATACTTTTAAACCCTGGAAATCTTACTATTTAATCCTTAAATGGGATGTATTAAAGTAGTTTTGAATCATATATATATATATGTATGAAAAAATCATACAATATATATATATAAAACATGCAAAAACAGTGACACATCACAAATACATTTAAGAGATAAATATATATTTCTTCACTCAAATATGTATATAAACATATGCATATACTAACATATTTAGTATAACGTATACTAATATATTTTCCATTAAATAGGAATATGAACTTGAAAGGCAGTATCTCTAGTCAGTTGTTTCTTCACTACATTCACCCTAGAATTAAGTAAGCTCTGTAATCTTAGTCAATGGCCCTATGTTGAGTTTTAAGTAACTGCATGTGTTAAATAGTACAGGAATATTTTTTCCCTTCAGAAATGACCTTGCCCTGCGTGAGAGGGTTTCCTCTGTAAAACCAAGCACATCTGTATGCTGTCACACAGTTACAAATTCATGTGTTTCTACCGTGTTTTCCATGTCTCTGCCCCACCACAGATCATTTTCCGTAAAATCAGCGACGTGAAGAAGGAGGAGGAGGAGCGCCTCAGGCAGAAGAATGAAGTCACGCTCAGCATCCCCGTGGATCACCCGGTCAGAAAGCTCTTCCAGAAGTTCAAACAGCAGAAGGAGCTGCGGAACCAGGGCTCCTCGCAGAGCGACCCCGAGCGGAACCAGCTCCAGGTAGAGAGCCGCTCCTTACAGAATGGGGCCTCCATCACAGGCACCAGTGTGGTCACGGTGTCACAGATCACACCCATCCAGACATCTCTGGCCTTCGTGAGGACCAGCGAGTCCCTCAAGCAGAACAACCGCGAGGCCATGGAGCTCAAGCCCAACGGCGGTGCTGACCCCAAATGCCTCAAAGTCAACAGCCCCGTGAGAATGAAGAACGGGAATGGGAAGGGGTGGCTCCGACTCAAGAACAATATGGGGGCCCAGGAGGAGAAAAAGGAAGACTGGAATAATGTCACCAAAGCCGAGTCTATGGGGCTATTGTCAGAGGACCCCAAGGGCAGCGACTCAGAGAACAGCGTGACCAAAAATCCGCTAAGGAAGACAGATTCTTGTGACAGTGGGATTACAAAAAGTGACCTTCGTTTGGATAAGGCTGGGGAGGTGCGAAGCCCGCTGGAGCACAGCCCCATTCAGGCTGAGGCCAAACACCCCTTTTATCCCATCCCCGAGCAGGCCTTACAGACCACACTGCAAGAAGTCAAACATGAACTCAAGGAGGACATCCAGCAGCTGAGCTGTAGAATGACTGCCCTGGAGAAGCAGGTGGCAGAAATTTTAAAAATACTCTCGGAAAAAAGTGTGCCCCAGACCTCTTCTCCGGAATCCCAAACACCACTCCAAGTACCTCCCCAAATACCATGCCAGGATATTTTTAGTGTTTCCAGGCCTGAGTCACCTGAATCTGACAAAGGTGAAATCCACTTTTAATATATATTATACATATATATTTGTTAATATCTCAAAGACAGTATATACATCTATATACAGAATGTGTATATACAGTATATACATATATATTTTCACTTGCTTTCAATATGATGAACCCAATATGGATTTTGATATGTAAATATTGCATGTCCAGCTGGATTCTGGCCTGCCAAAGATGATTATTAAAAACATAGGTATTGCTTGTACATTATGCAGTTGACTGCATGCACACTTTACTTTTATTTATAATCTCTATTCTGTAATTTTTTAAAAAATATGATTTTTGTTAATCAAGGCAATGTAATATTTGAAGAATCAGGGTCCCACCTGCCAATGTTGCCATGACGAATTTGATCTCAGGCTGAGTCGACTGCACTGACATTTCCTCACTGTTCTGTTGAGTTAAAATTATAGATTAATGCCAAGGAAGAGTTCAACTTTGCAAGCTGTTAGGACCATTTCATGATCTCTTTCCTTAGGATATTTTTCTGTAACTGAGAGTTAGGTTATTTTCTCCTAAGAGGCAACATTTTCACCACTTAAAGGACTGTTGTGTTGCCTGAATCAGATAGCATTATGGAGTATTGAAAATTTATTGCTATGGGTTTTGTGCATGAATTGCATTTTTGCTCAATTATACCTCTTCTTTTTCAACATTATATTTAGATAGTAATCATTAATATCTATGTAAGGAAATCCCTATCCCCTCCATCTTGGAGAACAGCTGCCATCTTGTAAGCTGATTTTATCAATCCCATAAACACAAAACTCTTAATATAGTGTATACTATTATAGAAACACTGCACTACAGGGTAAAAGGGCCTTTTAACCGTTCCTGTTAGAGACGCTGATCTTCTGAAGGTGATGTATGCTCTAAAGTTATGTTTCTAAAACTTATTCAAGGGTGAAGTTAAAAGGCTCTTAACAAAGAAAGAAACAAAAAATATTTAAGTAGTTATATCAAAATTTTAACTATAATGACTTAAATAAAAAAGAATGTAAAACAGACAAGTTTTGTAGCTTATCTATCACTTAGGAGGAATGAAACACAGGGACAGAATTGCTCACACACAATTCTTACTGTGTGTAGCAATAACATATGAAATGTGGTTTAAAAACCCAGAAACAAGAAGTAGGTGTTAAAATGCTCAACTCAGATAACTGCTTTTTTATAATTTTATTCTGGTTACAGTTTTCTAAAGCTTTTTTGCACACAGTTCTACTGCTTGACTTCTGCTGTGTTCATAGGCTCCTGAGGCTCAGGCAGATCACTTAGGAAAGGGAAGTACTAGAGACTGAATTCCAGAGTCTTTTGGGTCACAAATCCTCTTAGAAAGTGCCTATTATCAACTAAAAAAAAAGTCACAAAGAGTTGTGTATAGCTAATCCTTTAAGTGCTATGTATTGGGAATCAAATACTCATTCATTTCTAAGAACACAGGAGAATTTATTTCTTTTGACTAAATGGTATTTTGTAAAGTTGGTTAGAGAGACTTACTTTTGAATTGGTGCATGCTTGACATTTAACAGTGGGAGCAGGGCAGTTAATGTTTGCATCAGGTTGAAAATACATACCAATTGAATGTGTACATCGGACCATCTGTCCCCAAAATGAAAGCAAAATCAAAAGAGATATTTTGATCAATTGTACCCATTTTTATGAGCTTTTCTACCTATCTCACAGTATCCATAACAAAACCACCAGAACCAAAAGTTATCACAGTTAGACTGGAGAAGTGCAGAACAAAGTAATTTATTTAAAAAGTTGATATTTAGAATCTGTAATAAAACTTCACATTCCCTCAAGATGTGCCTGTTTCATTCAGGGGTCTCAGAACAGATGTTCTGTGCCATGGGTTCCATTTTCCTTCCTTTATGCTCATAACTTCCATGAGCGATAATGGAAGTTTTCAGGGGACAATGTCTCCATGCTATGCTACAATATCTACCTACTCTAGGCATGTGAAAATGAGGTAATCATGGTATGAAACAGGGATGGGGAAACATCTGACTCATGGGCTGTGTATAAGGCCCACAAAATCGTTTAGTCTGGTGCGGCCAAAGTATTAGGGGTAAGTGAATTGAATGTTTGACCAAACATAACAGGCTAATTTTTAAGTTTATAAATTTGCATGGTCCATGAATGATGTTATAAATATCTAAGTGGCCTTTGGCAGAAAAAAAAAGGTCCCCCACCCCTGCTGTCTTGAAAATGGGATTTTGTTGCTTTCATGGTAAGGATGGTACCTTTTTCTTGACCTCTGACATTTATTGAATTTCAGGGTACTTTTCTACTTAACTAAATGTGAGACATGCTCGGCTAAGCTTTTTAAAGGCAGATGAGTGGTAAAAATAATCTGAGTACAGAAAATGGTCAGTTTGACTTTAGCCATGTGCTTCAACAAAAAACATTTGTAATAAAGCAGTAAGAGAATGACTGTGAAACAGCCAGCCAGTGTAAAGCTGCAATCCATGCCTTTGCATATTAGAGGTGCATATACTTGCTGTGTGCTGGCACTGACTCAAAGTTTCTTCAAATTGACCTATAATATTATTGTTCACATGTACCGGAAAAGAAACGTAAGGTGTTTGAACTACTACAAGTGTCACAAAGGGGAGAAATGTATCAATTGCTTATTTCTGGTACCGTTATGACTGTATTATTTTACAGCCAGCTCTGTTCCAGTTTGCATGGCATGACAAGCCGCCGAATGCACTCTGCTGTGTCAGCAGGGATGCACTTGTTGAGCAAACAGTGTACATAGAGTAATCTTTTAGGTTCCCTCATTCCTTAGTTCTTACCAGTTGAACTTACTCAGATTTGAATGAAGGGTGAGCACCTGCTTGAATATGTGCTATAATAACACAATCACGTTCTGTGTTGCCTCAACCAGCATAGACTGTAGATTCCCTTTGGGGGGACCAGATGACTGCATGTTTTATTCTTACACTGTATAGATGCTCTTGGTGCATCCACAATAAAATTTTTACTATTATATTTCTGAACAATGCACTAATAGGAATACATAGAAATGTATTTAAAATCTAAACTTTTTCCAAAGCAACTTACACACCTTCATTATTTTTCTATGGTAATATATAAGATCGGATGCTATACCCTGGGCAGGTGGATGTAACACAATAGTGAAAGTCAAACAAAGAAGGAAATGTGAGCTGTGCATCATAATGGCAAGTTTTATCAGTCTGTTTTAGGATATTATTGCACTAAATGTGATCTGGTAGATAAAGGAGCTTATGATAAAAGACAAATAGGCACACGAAAGGCAGATGACAAAGTTGATAGTGTTCCACATTGACATAAGTAGAACAGGATGGTTTTGGCATAGATGTTGAAGAGATATAATACTTCATTGTTAAAATGGAAAACTTTTATTATTGACACTGGTTTCATCTCACATTAAATATAGAAAACATAAATGTCCCAAAAATTTCATTAAAAATTATGTAGAGCAGATAATTAGAAAATTTGGGGTTTTAAATTGCTCCTAAGAAAACAAATGTACTCCTGGAGTACCCAGCACTTTAATAGGAATATGAATGATGACCACTAACACAAGTGCCATTTTGAAATTTAATCTTATTTAAATTTGCATTAAAAGCTGTGATTTTAATGCAAATCACAGCTTCCCTTAAACTTAAGAAGATTTTGTTCACCTGTGAGATCTGGCCCATATGTTGTTCTATTTTTAATAAATTCTTTCAGAAAACATTTTTTTTAATTAGTCTTTAGAGTAATGACTGTTTTAGAAGTGTGCACTGGCTGGTACTGGTGAAATTATTTGTCATTCTTAATGAATTGTACTATCTTGTATGATTTTTATCTTCTAAGCTATTTTATCTATCTCTTTTCCAAAATTTTATGTAGCTATTGAGAACATTTCTCTAGAATGTACATACATACATGGACAACTTTAAAATAATAATATTTTAATGATGTGAATGTTGTGTTTTAATACTTTGTTATCTAAGAATATTTCTCTTGTGGTCTTGATGGAAAGGAATAGAGAAAAGTTCAGTCTTATGGAAAACAATTTGTCTGTGGTTCTGAACCTAGATTTGCCATAAATGCAGTGTATCTTTGGGTAAGATACTATTGTTTTTGTTTTTGATATGTTCTGGACTTCAATTTCCCCACCAATAAATAATAAAATGAAGAGCTGCTCCCTTCTTATATCAAAATAATGTTATTTTTCCGGCGTATAAGACGACTTTTGAAACGAAAAAAAGTCAACCGAAAATCGGGGGCAAAAGACCAAAATTGCACAAAAATTGCCTGCAGATCTTGACGGCAAAGTAAGTCTTTTCTTTGAAGTGGGGGGGTAGTCTTATACAGCAAATATAGGCCTAAACCTATGTTTTAACTGTAAAATTAGGGGGTCGTTTTATATGCCGGAAAATATGGTAGGTGATGAAAATCATCTTCCTCTCAAATGAAAATCACATTAAGACAAATTATCATTTAACAATTTTTTCCCCTAGATCAGCCAAGCATTCCAAATATTCTAGGTTTTAGAGAAGACTTCTTTGGTCAGAAGTTGATGGGGAAATGCATGGGGTGGCTAAATAATCATTAGTAAGTGGCATGTGAAAATTACCTGGGTATTTGGAACTCCTAATCAAAGAAACATACAAAAAAAATAAAAGTCTTTTGAGGGAAGAGAGAAAAAGATATATGTAAATATGACTTTTTTCTTACTCTACTGAGTCATAGTGCTCATCAGAAATTTTCAATTTTGTGAGAAAAGTAAATAAATTGGTGAATATTCAAAGTATAAGGCACTTCACTTTTCAACTTTTTTTTGTATAAAAATAATTATGACTTACTCAAGATATACTGTTTCACAACAGCAGTTGTTCTTACAACAAAATTCTTAATATTTAAAGAATTCTTTCCAATGACTAGTCAGTTTTCCAGTGTATACCTTCAATTGAAGAAAGTCAAGAAAAAGGCTAAAACACACACACACACACACACACACACACACACACACACATTTAAATCACATTTTAAAACCACTTATGTTATTGTGTCTTTAGTGAGAGGGTTTGAATTTTAAAAATTATATATTAGTAATATTGGTAACTCAAAGAAGCCACTTTTAACATGTGAACATTTTGTTTTTTATTGTTTAATATGTTATTTATTGATTTCAGAGAGAGGAAGGGAGGAGGGGAGAGAGAGAGATAGAAAATTAATGATGAGAGAGAATCATCATTGCATGTCCCCTACTGGGGATCCAGCCCACAACCTGGGCATGTGCCCTTACCAGGAACTGAACCTGACCTCCTTTCATGGGTTGGACACTCAACCACTGAGCCACACCAGTCAGGCAACATTATTTTTTTAATGAGATTTATTTTGTTATTTTGTGCTTATTCTACAAAGAGTCTTGTATCTTAAGGGATAAACTCAAACCTGTAGTCACTTAATTTGCCATGACCCTTTGGGTAAGGAAAGTAGAGCACATAGAAACAAAGGAGAAATTTTTATGAACTTGAGGAGCTAGTTAGTTTTCTTTTGGGGTTTTGTAATCTTCCCATTGAGTCAGAATTTAAAAACTGTTATATAATTAGGAGTTAAATGTTATTTTGAAAGTGGACACCATTTCTCAAGTTAAAGAAAAATTAATTATAAATGCCTGATATATTTGAGAATATTAAAGGAGGGTTAAGGGGATTGGTCATTATTGACCGTGACTTTTCACTATCCATGTAATCCTTTAGATTTATTTGCGAAATGGTCAGTGGCATCTATATTTGTATCCACTTGATAGGCCTATGGCATTCCAACTCACAGTTGCATTACATATGTATTCTACACATATGTAAATAAATATTTTCAATCTATTTGTTGTCAGTGTAAACTTTGTACTTACATCTTACATGTTGTTAGCAGCTTAGATAATAAAATCTCTTACAACTGTGGCATGACATTTAATTTTTTAGAGGGTTGATATAGATCAATTTGACATGATGGGAAATATTCATCTTGGTCTAGGAAAACCAGTCAAGAGGAGATGTATGTGAAAGTACACAGTCAGAACAAAAACAGTCAGGTTTAAAATGGGTTCTGGTGCCAGGCTAACCTGAGCTCACAGGACTCCAAATCAAGAATTGCATTTCCAATTTGGAACAGATGTACAATGAGGATCATAAAGGAGATGGCCATTTAGACTCAAGGGGTGTAAGCATGGTCACTGATAATGCTTAAGGGTGAAATCAAATAAACTCTGGTGAGTTTATATAGAATATTTTTTTATTGTTTTACCTTAGTTTTACTGGTACACATTGCTTTAGATTATTTTTATTTTACTCACTAGAGGCCCAATGCATGAAATTTGTGCAAGGGGCTCGGCCCTCACAGCCACGGCAGCTTGCCTCGGCCCTCATAGCCCTGGCTTCGTCCAGAAGGTCATCCAGGAGGACATCCAGAAGGACATTCTTAGGGCCGTTTAGATGTCTGGCCTAATTAGCAAGAACGCTTTTATTATTATAGATACTTTATTGTGTAAGTATGTGCAGACTTCTCAATGAGAAAGATTGGCTAAGCCTGGATCTTCCATTAGTCATAAAAAACAACAACACACACATAGAAACATTGTGATTGGGCAACAACAATAAGGATATTCCAACAGAAGCAAAACTTTAACATCCACATTTCTGTAGTTATAACATTTTCTGGCATATCACCAGGCAAAATCAAATGGCAAATTCAGATGAGTTCTCATGTCAGAGTCTTGAAACATTAAATAATGTGAATTACTAAGTGCAACCTTAGGACATAAGCAAGTAATATGTTCAAACTTTCAAATGTTGCATACATTCCTTATATCAGTTTTTCTCATTGTTAAGTAAAAGAGTGCTTACCTGAGATGTTTTTAGTACACATTAAATGAATTATGAAATGTGGTTTTAACAATATAGTTACCAAATCATCCTCATTTAAAGAGACATGTGTTCAGGTTTGCCATACCTCTCTTCTGTGGAATTTAGATAGTCAATGAGTTATATTTCTCAAAGTTTATTTGCACAAAACAATTACCCACATGCTTAATATTTATTGATGTGTTCTTTCTTTGAAGCATTTTCCATTTACCTTTTTTCCCTCTGGGAAGGTATCTATTCCACAAATCTACAGGTCTTTTATCTTCTGGATTTTACCCACCTTTTCTCATTTAGAATATTTTTTTAGAACTGGAGATTTAGATGCTAAAAATAATGACCTTATTAGCAATTCTGTTCCTGGAAATGTGAGTTATTTAGTATGTTTAACATTTAAAAATCAATAGATTTATATTAGGATAAAATGCTTACTCTGAATTTCAGTAAAATTTAAAAAATTTTCTTTGACCCTGGTGAAAATTTCTTCACTTTGTTTTTATAATAAAAAAATTTAATTTTTGATTATCATAATTTTGAAAATAAGTGATAAAGATTTTTCCAAATGCTATAGTAAAAATCCGTTAGACGCCATCAATTATGTGAAGATGAGAAGTGCAAAAAACTCTTTATTAATGAAGTAATTAATAGAATTATGATATGTAATTATATCAAACGTCAATTTGTTAAATAGTGCCCATGTTAATTATTAATAAGTTTAATCTTCAAAGCATTTTATGTCAAATAATTAGTTCTTAGCTATCCAGTGAGGGCAAATAATATCATTTATCCAAGTCTAAAGGCCACTAAAATACTTTGGAGTTCTGTCTTTATTGTTCTCTACCTCTCAAAATACTTGCAGGTATACATAAGCACACAAAACCAAACAAATCATCTTCAGTTTAGAGGAAGGTAATTATTTTTTTTAATTCTTTGAAGAGTACTTAATTTCATAAAATGGCATGATAGAGTTTGGGAATGTTTAATTGAGAAATTGAGAGAAAATAGGTAAATATTTATTTTCGTTGGCATACTGGTACTTGTTTAGGTGGTACTAGAGTTTGTAGTTGGTCCTACATTCTAGTTAATTCTGAGTCATATCATGCAGGGAAGGTGGATGGATACAAGCTAGAATTTTTTAATGCCTATTATGTGCCAGATGTTTTAAGAATATTGGTTTGGCTGAAACCGGTTTGGCTCAGTGGATAGAGCATCGGCCTGTGGACTGAAAGGTCCCAGGTTCGATTCCAGTCAAGGGCATGTACCTTGTTTGCAGGCACATCCCTGGTGGAGGTGTGCAGGAGGCAGCTGATCTATGTCTCTCTCTCATCTATGTTTCTAAATCTCTATCCCTCTCCTTTCCTCTCTGTAAAAAATCAATAAAATATAATTTAAAAAAAAAGAATACGTATTGGTTTGTGTTCTAACTTGAGATTTTCTACCTTTTGATTTTTTATAATGAGACCAATGTTTTTACATTCTTTATGAGGGTCAGGACTGTTGAAGATTTGGACTGGGAACCAGGAAGATGATGAAGGCTGAGTGGAATCTATCAGCTGCTTTACCTTCAGGCTTAGAAGTTAAGAAAGTTAATTAAGCTTATATTTATTGAGTGCTCACTCTCTATTTACACTATGCTAACCATTTTATTTAGGTTATAAACTTAATTATTGCAAAAGCCCTGTGAAAGAACAGATTAAGGAACTTGTCAGGATAGCATAGCTATTAAGTGGTCATGTAAACCCTAGGGAGACAACTTCATCTTTCATAGTACTGACATTGCAAAGCTATTTAGTTTAAATGCAGATTCCAAGTCTTTCAAGACATGCACTTTTAAAAGGTCCTGAATTAAAAATAAAATTTAAAAATTTACTTTATAATGTTTATGTATATGTTTGCTTTGCCCGTAGTGGGTTAGAGTAAATGACAGAGGTTGAACTCGTAAGGTGCCCCATCCAATAGTGGAATTTTCCATCATTTCTCCCCACAATCGAAAGACATTGGTGCAGGTCAATAGCCAAATGTGATTATTAGTAAGAGGCAATTCATAGTCGCTGGTATTAGCATTTCCTTTTCCAATTCAATTTTAACCTAAAAAAAGTAATGCATGAATAGGAAAGCAAGGAAAGCAAGAGATATTTGAGATTTTTTTTCCTCCAAAATATTTTCCCCCACTTTTAATATTGGGGTTTAGATGAGTCTCCAGAAATATTTTATTTTTAAAATCTGGTTTTTTTGACCCTCTGAATTTCAAGTAGATTAACACAGTCTTGGCCAAACCACTATTAAATGCATTATCC